CATTGTTTTTGGTCCTAATTGTTGCTCCCTTTTTGAAGGCTCAATGATTTATCATTTTTATTATCACTCACTAATAATCATTCTAAACTAATCTCTAATGACCCAATGAATTTCGAGCCTCCAAAATGGCTCCGTCTCCGATTTGTTTGCCGTTCATTTCAGTCATTACAAGTTGGCCAGATGAGATTAGAATAGCTTATGTTTAGTTTTGATCTAGGAGTCGACGTTTGTTGGTCGATTGTGCTTGATCAATCGTTTTGCAAGTTGTTAAAGTTCTTTGTTTACAGACAGATGTCCTAATGTCGTTGTAAAACATCTGAAAGGTGAATAAACTTTTTATTCTTCCCACCTGGCAGACACTATAGACCAATTGTACGATCGAAGCTCCAAGGGTAGTCTATAATAGAGCTCTACCATAGTCACTCTGGTCTTTCATATTAGTTACCCAGCCGTGAACACTGCAGTACTCTTCTTGACCAATTATAAAAATATTTGTAGACCTCTTTGGACTAATTGAGAGTTTCTTTCCTATGGAGTCACTAGCGTCATCATAAGGCAAGGGGCACGGGCATAGTAAGATTCTAGGTCACACAACTCGCTCCATCGTTATTACCTGATGCTGCTGGGAATATGGTTTCTAGTTGTGCCATATATTAAGGTCCCAGCATTAAATCGCAAACTCGGAAGATCCGAATGAGACAGTCGATATCCAATCCTGATTTCTCATTTCATTATATCTATCCCTTTGCAATTTAGATAACTGCTCTACTTCAGTGATCCTTTGACCAATCTTGAGCTCATAAAAGGCTTAGTTCGACTGGACTAGTGCCAATAAATTATCTATTTAATATTTGGCAGCGACACCTCTCGGCACCGCTCTAACCAGAAGCTTATTCCTTAGTGGTTATATAAATAGCAACGAAACGGTTCAAAGCACTTGTCATAGTCAGACCAAGCTAGATCATTGCCGTCCTGAACAGGTGCACATATGTTCTTGGCTGAATAACGTATAGGAGTGGATAACGATGTCGTTGACTCCGCCATTGAGGCTAGGTCACCTTACACTGCTCGCGATACATCAGGTGAGGCTAGGTCACCTTACACTGCTCGCGATACATCAGGTGACTGAACCGACTGCCAATGCTAGACGAGAAGCGAAAGAGATTCATTCATGTTAGCCTTTTTGTTTGCCTGGTCGACGTTGATCAGTCCCGCTTTGGGATGCACCTCGCACTAGACTATCACCTTGAATAATGATGGAAATTGAGAGCGTACATAAAGACTAACTGATATAGAATTCACTGCCTTTATCCTCCCGAACAAGCCTATCAACAATTATCCTACTCGAAGGGTCGGAATCTCGATTATGCTCGTAGTAGAGTAGCTG